CAAAAAATTTGCCTCTGCTACGAACAGCGCCGCTGTCTAGCGTCCATTTTAACCGGAAGTTAACCGAATTTATGTGTTAATGTGAGTATAAATGAGTCTTTTAACTCTAATCATCTCATTATCTCTCCTTGCTGCTCCCAAATGCTTAATCTGGATGATGTTTTTATCCTGGTCATAATAAAATCTAGGTCATTATTTAATTGTGGAATATTTTCGCAAAGCAGTGTATCAAATATTGGTAAATAGTAGACATGTTGTCAAAGTAATGTGTAAAATTTATTAATGAAATCTGCTAACAAAGTAAATGTGTAGAATTTTGTTAGTAAATGCGCAGGTAATAAAAGTAATGTGTTAACTTTTTGTGTGATAAACATGCATTTCATTAATGTATCGACAAATGGGTCTTTCAGGTTGTGTATTGTGATCCCGACACAGTTCACAAGTCCTCATGGTCCCCTGGTCATAGAAGGTGGTAGGTTCAAGTCTCAGGTCTTCTACGTCCGCAGAGATACCATCATCCACTGGCAACATGTGAACAAAAAGTCAGATAGTTGTGTGAGTACATGCCGAGATATGAAAGTACCTACAGGTAGTTGTGTGAGTACTCAGTACTTGCCGATATATAGAAGTACCTACAGGTAGTTGTTTGAGTACATGCCGAGATATTGGTGTACCTACAGGTAGTTGTGTGAGTACATGCCGAGATATGGAAGTACCTACAGGTAGTTGTGTGAGTACATGCCGAGATATGGAAGTACCTACAGGTAGTTGTGTGAGTACATGTCGAGATATGGAAGTACCTACAGATAGTTGTGTGAGTACATGCCGAGATATGGAAGTACCTACAGGTAGTTGTGTGAGTACATGCCGAGATATGGAAGTACCTACAGGTAGTTGTGTGAGTACATACTGATCTATGGAAATACCTACAGGTAGCTGTGTGAGTTCATGCTGATCCATATAAATACCTACAGGTAGCTGTGTGAGTACATACTGATCTATATGTGAGTACATGCTGATCCATAGAAATACCTACAGGTAGCTGTGTGAGTACACGCTGATCTATATGTGAGTACATGCTGATCTATGGAAGTACCTACATGTAGCTCTGTGATTACACGCTGATCTATGGAAGTACCTACAGGTAGCTGTGTGAGTACACGCTGATCTATGGAAATACCTACAGGTAGCTGTGTGAGTACATACTGATCTATGGAAATACCTACAGGTAGCTGTGTGAGTACATACTGATCTATGGAAATACCTACAGGTAGCTGTGTGAGTACATACTGATCTATGGAAATACCTACTGGTAGCTGTGTGAGTACATACTGATCTAAGGAAATACCTACAGGTAGCTGTGTGAGTACATACTGATCTATGGAAAAACCTACAGGTAACTGTGTGAGTACATACTGATCTATGAAAGTACCTACAGGTAATATATCAGGGTGTGAGTACCTGTCGAGCTATGGAAGTACCTACAGGTAGCTGTGGGAGTACATGCTGATCTATGGAAGTACCTACAGGTAGTTATGTGCGTACATGCTGATCTATGGAAGTACCTACAGGTAGCTGTGTGAGTACATGCCGATATATGGAAGTACCTACAGGTAGCTGTGTGAGTACATGCTGATCTATAGAAGTACCTACAGGTAGCTGTGTGAGTACATGCTGATCTATAGAAGTACCTACAGGTAGCTGTGTGAGTACATACCCATCTGTGGAAGTACTTACCAGTAGTATATTTGATTTATCGAAAAACACATGATGCAGTAATTACGTGCCAAACATTACATACATATGTCTACATGAAATATACGAGGTAGCTAGATTCAAACGATGTGCGTGTTGTGTAGAAATAAGTAACAATGCAATTATTTACACAGCATTTTCTTCAACAGTTTCCTTCGAAAACTTTTGCCAATGTTCATACAGTTGATGGAAGTATTTATAGAACCAATTCTTTGACACCTCTTTCAGCTTCTTCTTGCACTGACGATAAAGTCCTTAGCATCCCTCCATTTGCTGCAATTTCAGTGCTTATTGTAGACGAGAGAGTAAGACAAAATCAGCCATTGCCAGGTCTTATAATAAAGAGGATCTTCCAGGACAATCACATCAAATACCTTTCTTAAATGTTTGTGTATTCTAGACTAAGCATTAGCCCGGCTCTCTAGCGAAGTTGGTTAAACCTGACGTTCGCGGTGACCGGGTGACGAACTCCTTGTGGTCCGGGTTCACTCCCGGGGGTAGGCAGAAAAGCCACATTTCTCCCAGATTAACGGTACCTATAATGGAATCAAGGCCGAATGGTTGCGATATCCATAATACCGAGCCAAAGGGTTTACAACTCATGGTTTCTGGATACTTAAAAAAAAAAAAAAGACTAAGTATTAGGGTCCAGTGTGTTCGTAAATTCTTATTGTGTTTGTTATTCGACATATGTTTCGTTAATATAAATGTCAGTAACCTACGATGCCATTTCAATGGTTTGAATTATGTCCGTATTTGTAGATTTTAAGCCGTACGATAGACATGGCCAATAAGACACCTTTTTTTGGAGGGGGGGGGGAGGGGTGCCTAGCTGACCCTATTTTAGTGCGTTTGTTTCCATAGCGAGGCGCAAACGCCGTCTGGGGGTGACAGGTTCGATTCCAGGCAAGGTAACTATAGCTTTCGATTTTATGTTGTTTAGTTGTACTTATGTTCTTTCTACTTCTTTCTATGAGTGCCGATCAATACATTTTCGTTTTTTTTAACAAACATAAAATGCTGTAGAACTATTGGAACCATACCCATCGTTAAATTTATTGAGAAGTAAAGAATGAAATGGTTTGGTCACCTAATGAGAATGGAACCAACGATACCAGCATCAAGAGCATACAACATGAAAATCGAAACATCAAGAGGCAGGGGAAGACCAAGAATAAGATGGATTGAAGGAGTCACGGACAACTTGAGGCTTCATAACATCACGGCATATGAAGCGACTGAGAGCGCCCTGGCTCGGTTGCCGATCATCTGATAGACTGCGACGCCTAGCGGCACAAGCAGATTTTGACAAAAGAAGAAGATAAAATGCTTTACCAATAAGAATCTATGTGATTGCATATTATCATCAACAGAAAGAAAAAAACCAACTCGTTCCCCCACCCCACCCCCCCCCCCCCCCCCCCCCTTTTTTTTTTTTCAGGTGTTTCTTTCAGAATGCATCTTTCATACAATGAAAGATATCAGAGTGCATTCCCTTCTTAACTTTCGGCCTTCGGGCAAGAAATCATGGCAGACAATCTAGTTTGCAATACTGAGCAAGCCTTCTGCCTCTGCGTTTGATTTCTCAATCAATAAAAACCAAACTGACATTTTTGCAGCTGCTGAAGAAAGAACATGTTTATTTCCGACCAGGCTACGTGCAAAAGGCAAACAATTTTTAACTTTTGTTCAAGAATCGATGTGAAGGTCACGTCTGCCATGTCGTTTTGTCAAGGTTACAAGTAACTCAGAAAACTATCACTTTTATCTTATAATAACTAATTCAAACATAAATCGACTTTATGTACATAAATACATCTTCGTGAAATACATCTCTAAATGACACATTGCAGAAATATATATATATATATATATATATATATATATATATATATATATATATATATGTGTGTGTGTGTGTGTGTGTGTGTGTGTGTGTCTGTGTGTGTGTCACATAATGCATAAATACAGTACACTGACATAGAGCCGATTTTAAATTTTTACTTTAACCGCATGCGAATTTGTGTCAACACTTAACAACATCCGCTTCAACATCCACTGTCTGCCTAATTTTTAAATTAGGAAGATAAAATACTCCCGCGTGGACAGGCAGCACAGAATACTGGGCTGACCATCTGGCAAGTAATAAGTGAATTAAAGTAAAGATCCCTTTTCACGCCTTAGGCGCATCGGGCATATGGGAAGAGCATCCCATATGTTTACAGAACAATCGGCACAAGATATTTATGTAATGTGGTCCGCATTACGATAGCCGTATTTACTTTCCTGGTACCAATTTTAGGCTGGGTCGACTTGCGACGCCCCATACCATGATAAAAATCTGCGCAGTCAGCAGTGAGTTTCGATCACGTTAAGTTGGAATTACGAATCTGACTCGCAACGCTTAAGCCACGGTCGCGGCAATTGGCAAGTAATGCAACAGTGCAAACGAGAAGAAGCATGGACAGAGCTGATATCATCAACGCTGTAAGGACTTCGTTGGGGGATCATGTTGAATCTTTGACGCTAACATGATTGCGTTACCGGGGAGTTAAGCTTATAAAGTAAGTCTATGCCGTCTTTGAGGTAAAGACAGGAGATACTATAACCAGTTTCTCATGGGAGCAATTAGTAAAAGTGCCTTCGAGTAGCTGCAGCAACGGAGGACTTATCAAGCATGGAAATGCTCAGTATTCAAAGACGTCGATTGTGATAACATAACAGAATACTGAACATATGCTGCAGACATATTCTCTACATCAATGGTCTCCAACTTTTGTTTTCAGGTCGCAACCTCTTGAGTATTTGGCTAGAACCCCGCGCCCCTCTTGAATATATCCAAAGACACCCCCCCCCCCCCCGCCTCCCCCACAAACACCACGGAAACCTCCTGGAGACCACTGCTCTGCATGTAGTAGAGGGATGAAAGGTCTGGCCATTAGCAGTCTGGGTGGAAATCAGTGGAGAACCTGTGCCCCAGCACAGCTGTCGTAAGTGACAGAATATGGCTTTGTCATCTGAAAACCTCTGGCAGGTAAAACTAAACAACAGCAGCAGCAGCAGCAGAAGAAGAAGAAGAAGAAGAAGAAGAAGAAGAAGAAGAAGAAGAAGAAGAAGAAGAAGAAGAAGAAGAAGAAGAAGAAGAAGAAGAAAAAGAAGAAGAAAAGAACTAAACTGAACAGTATGATCAGCTCTTGGTGCTGCAGGGCGACTGAGCAATATTGTGTAAGAGAACTGTTACTTACCTCACGTAGAGACATGCTGATCTTCTTGTAACATTGTAGCTCTTTGAACGTGCCTACATTAGTTACCAGTGTCAAAGAAATTACAAAACTTGATATATGTGCATATTTTTCAGAGAAAACAAAATGTGACACATGCGTGCATACTGTCAGACACATGGCAACAGAGCGTGACACATAAGTGCACAATGTCATCGACATAGCTATAACATGTGACACATGGGTGCATTCAGTCACCGATATAACAATGAAACGTGACACATGGGTGCATAATGCCAGCGATATATCAATAAAACGTGACAAATTTGGTGCATATTGCCAGGGACATAATAACAAAACGTGACACATTGGTGCATACTGCCAGCGATATAATAATCAAATGTGACACATTGGTGCATAATGCCAGCGGCATAACAATAAAATGTGACACATTGGTGCATACTGCCAGCGATATAACAATAAAATGTGACACATTGGTGCATACCGCCAGTGACAAAACAATAAAATGTGACACACTGGTGCATTCTTTCAGGGACATAACAACAAAACGTGACACGTGAAAGTAAACTGTCAGAATTTTAACAACAAACGTGACAGATGAGTACAAATTGTCAGCGACACAACAACATAACGTGACATGTAAATTTACACAAGGGGAGTGTCCAAGTGGTATTGTCAATTCGTTCCAGCCTCATATTGTGTACAAATCGGCATTCAGTAACAGATGTGCCCAATACCACATCAAATTCTGTTACTATCCAGAAAATTTCCTCCTAGGAATGTTAACATCTGCTCGACTTGGGCCACGTGATCAATTTTGTTTAAAAGAAATCAATGCTGATTCGAACCTATGCCAACCGAGTGTGCGGGCAAACGTGCTAGCCAATGCCTTAGTGGTCAGTTACTGTCACAGATACCTGGGTGTTCCCCGAAAAGTCTATTAAATTTCAAATAAACACGAATATTTCCACGTGGATTTTATAAAATATAGTCTCGTGCTTCGGTATGCGCACACACAGGCACACAAAAACATACAGAAACACTCATAATGAAACACATACATATATGCAAACACCCACACGCATACATACATGCATAAATACATAAACACACACATATGTACACGAATGCGAATACATCAGTAAACGTGTGTAAACATACATACAAACATTCTCTAGTTCCAAGAATGCAATTAAAACACAAGACTATACATCAATGTCATAACCACTTGTGTGCAATCTCTGGTTGTTGTAGAGGGGCTACTCCATATCTGCGAGATAGAAGCTCTGTGTGTCAGGACTGTTATGTGTGCAATCTCTGGTTGTTGTAGAGGGGCTACTCCATATCTGCGAGATAGAAGCTCTGTGTGTCAGGACTGTTATGTGTGCAATCTCTGGTTGTTGTAGAGTGGCTCCTGCATAGCTGCGAGATAAAACCTCTGTGTGTCAGGACTGTTACTGAGCTTGGGGAAGGGAAACAGAGCGTTGCAACACTGGACGTGGTTCTTTGGTGGCGGGTAGGGAGAAAGGACTCAATGATTATGTTACTCCGATAAATACGGACATTGTTCAGGACTCAGAGCACATGAACACCAACGCCCCTGACTCAGTCTTCTGAAGGCTTCACCACTTGGCTGTGTTTCCCAGTTGTAACATTGGATAGCCGAGCCTAGTTAATATGAACAATTATTTGTCTTCAAAAATGAACCAACCAGTCACGTGCTTTCTCACAGCCAAGGTTGCCTGCGTCACTGTCTTGTCTCTTGTCTTAGCCTACACTTTTTCAGACCGTTGCTGCCATCGTATTTATTTAATGTAATTCTTCTTAGATGCTCAACTCTCAACGTTTCTGCACTAGATTGTCCCCCCTTTAGTCAGATTCTCCTCTTGATTTCCCGCTTCACTCAACACGGCTCATGGCATACTAAGAGGTAAACACTGTAAACTTGAGCAAAGCAATAATAGGAACACTCACACAGATACTACACCCCCCCCCCAACACACACACACGTACACACCACCACACGCACACACGTACAACACACCTTCCCCAAAAACATACACACGCATACCCCCCCCCCCCCTTTCCCCACCAAACACACCGACAGACACACGAACACCCCTCCCACTCCCACCCCACGCACACACACACACACACATGCGTACCTCCTCACCCACCCCAACATGCACACGCGCGCACACAAAACTCACGGTACTGTTGCAGACATTTACAGAATCCCTGAAGGAAATCCTCTTCGCAGATTCTGCCAGTCTTGTCCCCGTACCTCTTCATGATGGCATCCACAGCTTCCGGTCCTGCGTGGAAGTCTGGTCAGTGATCAGGACAACAATGGTGTATAATTTAATATTGTATAACTATTTAACTCCAGCAGTTGTCTGTTGGTAAGATGACTTCAGAGCTTCATTAGCAAACTTTTGTACTAGAGTTCTACTTGAACAAGGCTCTCCTTTCAAATATTAGCCAGTGTACCGATTTAAATTGTAATTCATATATCCATGACTGACTGGCAGAAGCCAAGTACGCGCGTTAGAGATCCTTCGCGCGCGTGCTCGCGCGCGTGCGCGCCTGCGCGCGTGCGTGTGCGTGTGTGTGTGTGGGTGTGTGTGTGTGGGTGTGTGTGTGTGTGGGTGTGTGAAGATTTTATAAACATTCAAATGTAGACAAAAAAGCTTTTTCTGACTTGAATGTTGAATTAGGAATCGACATAATAGCACTCGGGACACTTTCATAAGCGCTCTGTCCTCATCTTCAGCCGCAAACAAAGAGTTCCAATTCTGATGGTACCAGTAACTGTTTGATTGTACATCCGTCTCGCCTTTCCCTTGAGTTTTGAGGGTCGGTCAAATCGCCTGATAACTCCTCGCCTCGCCATTCTCCTGAGACTGTAATAATCTATTTGTGCTTCCGTATAGTTCACTCGCTACCAAAGCGCCTTCGCAACATCTAGCTTGTCATACATCAATTCATCATCAAGTGGTGCAGAACTGGCCAGTCTATATGTCTGCTTGTTTCCAGCATGACCTGGAGAAAATATCCAAACGACACTAACTACCCGGAATCTCTGAAGCGATGCTTGCCACTCTGAATCTCTGAAGCGATGCTTGCCACTCTGCACAGAGCATGTCTGTCTCTGCCTTTCTCAACATACTCTGTGAGTTAGTTACAGTTACGACATGTGTGTACAGCTGATTCTCAGTCCAGCGAAAGGCAGCTTTCTAACTTCAGATACTTTTAATACAACAAATATAGTTATATTGTTGTTTTATTTCTGCTGTAGAAGTGTTCGTTCTACGTGTTGTCCCAGTGCAGCGGGTTTTAGAGTTATTCATAATTACATTGTTTAACTGTTTTTGTTACAAACGATATTCCCAAAACATAAGGTGCTAAATGGGGGAAAACCTTGCTAGAGATTTGACCAGTGGTCACTGACAGGCTTCTACACAAAGATGATGATTGGTAGTGGGTCTGAGAGCTCAGCACGGTGGACAACTCTGGTCACTGTTATAGTTGCATGGGAGATAACTGTGCTCTTTGGTGCCAGAGACAACTGTAGCGGAAGTGGGCTTTGTTTTTTAAGTGTAAAATGCAAATCACAGCATGTATCACATACCGAGATCATAATTTCAAAATCATAAAATGTATCACTGACACAGACGTAACTATCGCTTATCTTAAACTAAAAATCATAAAATCTATCACTGACACAGACATAACTATGATACCCCCGTCCCTCTGCGGTTCGCAATTTTATGTGTGTGTGTGTGGTTATCTTTAAAACCCTAGCCCGGCTGATGTCAGCACCCATGAATATAACCTACAGGTTTAACGGAGTTTCTGAGACTTGCGCCCGGGTGACTATCATCACTTGTCAATCATTTCAAAACCATAAAACGTATCACTGACACAGATATAAATGTCACTTGCCAATAATCTCAAAACCATAAAACGTATCACTGCCACAGACATAAATGTCACTTGCCAATAATCTCAAAATCATAAGACGTATCACTGCCATAGACATAAATGTCACTTGCCAATAATCTCAAAATCATAAGACGTATCACTGCCATAGACATAAATGTCACTTGCTAATAATCTCAAAGTCATAAAACATTTCACTGCCACAGACATAAGTATTACCTTACCAATAATCTCAAACAATGTTGTTAGTTCACCAGCATCCAGAAATTCATCTCTATCTTTATCGACTTTTTGAAATGCTTTCTGGAATGACAATGTATCACTTTGGCATCAGACATATTTCACATAAGTTTGTTTGTTTGTTTTAGTATCCAGAAGCCATGAGTTGTTAACCCTTAGGCTCGGTATTATGGATATCGCAACCTCTCGGCCTTGATTCCATTTTAAATACTGTAAATCTGGGAGAAATGTGGCTTTTCTCCCCACCCCCGGGAGTGAACCCGGACCACAAGGAGTTTGTCACCCGCTCGCTGCGCAATCCGGTTTAGTCAACTACGCTAGAGAGACAGGCTGCACATAAGTGAATATACTTTGTGGGAATAATTTGGAAAAACGATTCCCGTCGGCACATTGGACTGCAGGCTGCTCTGTAACCGCGGGGCTGTCCCAGTATACGTGTGTTGTACGGATAAACAGGGTTTTTGGGATTTGCTCCGGTGTGATTTTCATCCTTGAAGTGTTTTTCATACTGACAGCAATTCAGGAGGGGAACGGTGAGCGGCACCGCCACCATGAGTTTTTGAAAACTAATGACAAAGAATTACATATGTGACTGATGTAGGTCGATTCAGGCATAAATGGGTACGAGGTAAAGCCCTGGGAAGTAAAGGTGATCGATGTGATGCTGACCATATCACCCACCAAGTGCTGATTAGTTTATAAAAATGGCTAGCCCTTTATGCCCAAAAAGCATAAAGGCGTGGAGAGGATCTTTATTTTACTGTACATGTCTGGTTTGATATATTCCTTGACCAACCAGTCTGCACTAGATTACCCATGTTCTCCGTATGGGTTCCAGGGACCCATTGTGGGGAAAACAAGAACAGACCCGCTGCCTTCCTAAAAAACATGTCGTAAGAATCGACTAATAGTGGAGTTTCTTCGAAGTCGGAGTGCATCTGCCTGAGAGGCAAGGAACGTACAGTATGCAAACAGAAAAGTCAGATCTGTAAAACGGATGTGCCCGCACTACTCAGGTTCTGAAACAAGTCTATAGTCCAGAAGTGGATGAGCAACTATAAATTTCCGCCAGAGGCTACAGCTGGTGAACGCGAAGAAAAAGATAACTCATGTGATCCATATCATGCTAGACGCCCTTGACTTTTTATGACACTTCCACGAATCTGCTTGTGTTGTGGTATATCTCGGAGCCCGGTAATGTTTAAAAATTCGATCTCGGGGAGGATTTGAACATATGGTGGTCAGGTTGGCAGAGCAGGAAAACGCTGTCAGACAGAGGTTGTTTAATAACAATGAGATTTGTGAACCAGACTAACAAGTTAAATCACTAGACGTCTGAGATGAAATACTTGGCTTCGAAACAAAACAGCCTTAATAACTTACTATGATGCGTGTCGGATTGTTTACGGTGTAGAATATTGTAAATATGGGATTAGTGCGGTTGAAACACATAAACTTTGAAAATAAATGATTTGTTTATTTAAACAAAAGACTAAAACATGTAATATTTTAATATGTAATATATGTTTATAAATTAACAGCTCTTCGAGCCAAAACCTGATGATTGGTTAATGCGGCGGTGGTAGAGTATCTAGTCTGACAGACTGCCAAGACAGATGTCTGAGTTCAACCCAGCTAATAGAAGGACCCTGTTTTCTAGTGAGCACTGTTTTGGGATTGATCCAGATTCATAAGATGGAAGAAAATCTCAAGAATCATATGGTAGGGAGTGGGGCAGAGCCACGTAATTTAACATCGCCTTGATGTTATGACTCAAATCTGTGAGAGTCTAAGCTTCGACTATATAAAAACCAGAAGTGAAGTTTGCTGCTAATTTCTGAAAAGTCTTACCCGCCACATTTCCAGATCTGACCAAATCTTCCGCACGCCATCTTTGTTGATCAGGCCGCTAGTTGCAGGAGTCTGGTCTTGGGTTAAGACTGGTTTTGGTGCGTAAAAATAAACAAGTGAAACTTCAAAGACGTGTTCATTGGGTTCAAGGGGCGTTTTCATGTAGTCGGGGGAAGGGGTGGAAGGAGACACAATACACATAGCACACACAAACACACTCCGCACAACCTTAAATGCAACTCTATGTGTGAGTTTGTGTAGTGTTTGGTGGTGTTGGTATAAGCCAAACACCACACAAAGTCGCTCATACACAGAGTTGCATCTAAGATTTGATTCTTTTTTTTTTTAGAGCTGTCTGACATGCTTTCCTTTTGTTTAAGATGAATGTGATGACGGCAATGGGCATAATTGAAATAAGGAGCCGCGACTAAGAAAATTTTGGGAGACACTGCCTTACAGGACTAGATCAAGACTCGTCTACAGCATTATGGTATTTTATGTGTTTTTTTTTCCCGTTTTGGAGCATGAGATAGCCTTTATAACTTTTTGTATTCACGCAGTTTTCTCTCTCTCTCTCTCTCTCTCTCTCTCTCTCTCTCTCTCTCTCTCTCTCTCTCTCTCTCTCTCTCTCTCTCTCTTTCACTCTTTCTCTCTCTGTGTTTGTGTTGAAAATCCACTGGGCTATTTAGAGTCTGAAAGAAAGATTGTTGACTCTGTTCTGAAGTAGGTACAGATTTTCCTACTGCTATGGAGTGCGTCGCTTTTTTAATGGAAATGTGCAATGTAGATTTTACTGCCTCCACTGTAGTTGCCACTTTAGCAGAACTATTTGCTAACACCCGTGCTCCAAAGTTTCAGCGATACTGACTTCTTCTGTCTCAGCAATTTCAGTTTCGGAAATGATGCCTGATACTCCCACAGGAAAGGTTGGACATCTGCACTAGGTTCTGGTGTCAGAGCCACAGGAAAGGATTCACATCAGCACTAGGTTATCGTGTGAGAGCCACAGGAATGGTTGGACATCTGCACTATGTTCTGGTGTTAGGGGCACAGGAAAAGATTCACATCAGCACTAGGTTATCGTGTGAGAGCCACAGGAATGGTTGGACATCTGCACTATGTTCTGGTGTTAGGGGCACAGGAAAGGATTCACATCAGCACTAGGTTATCGTGTGAGAGCCACAGGAATGGTTGGACATCTGCATTATGTTCTGGTGTTAGGGGCACAAGAAAGGTTAGACATCTACACTACGGTTTTGGCGTGAGAGGCACAGGAAAGGTTAGACATCTACACTAGGTTCTGGTGTGAGAGGCACAGGAAAAGTTGGACATCTACACTAGGTTCTGGTGTGAGAGGCACCCATATCCGTATTTCGATCCCTAGTCAGTCTGCATGACGACTAGGTTTCTCCTGCAAATTTCAGAATGGAGAGTGAGAAGCAACAACGAAATCCCGATCTGTTTAAATCACCACAAATTACTGGCAACATGTGCGCTAAAAAATACACTGCGTTGTTTGGGGGAAATGGCAGATGATTAAGAGATAAAAACTACATGCACAAAAGAAGTGAACTGGAATAGACCAAGAGGCTGACTTTGACGATGGTGAAGATACACAGACCAACAAACACTTGGAGACACCGACTGGAAAGAAAGAATCAGTCAGCTAATACACTATCCTCATATTCACTAGCAATCAAAAAGCTATTAAACCATCATCATGTGCCTGTTAGTGGGACTCACCTTACGTAGTAAAATGAAAAACAAAATAACACACACACACACACATAGGCCCACATACGGGTACACACATATACAGACATACACATACACACACACACATAGACATAAACATAGAGTCAAGCACATACAGACACACAAATACAGATACACATATACAGATACACATATACAGATACACATATACAGACACACAGAGGCACACACACGCAGGTACACACTTACAGACACACACAGGTACACACACATATACACACACAAACACACATGCACACACAAATACATTTACCCACAAAGTTCAAGTCAACACCTCTTCTTCTCCTCGCCTAATCGTAGAAAGCACATTTACACTACAAGGCCAAACAAACATTCTCATCAACATCCTTCTCCTCATCATCCGCATCATTATCATTATCAGCATGTGTCAGTTCGAAAGGTTTAACACAAATCTACGCGCACTAGTCTAAACAGCACACGAAATGAATCGCTTTCATCACTGTTTTCCTACTCATGGCCAATCATGACAAGATTTGTGTATCACGTGGTAAAGTTTAGGATGACATCATTCTAAATACATAGTCAGGTTTCTCTTTCAGCATCTACTGCCCATCATTGATGAAATGTATGTCACTGTATTTGGCTGCTAACAGAGAAGTGAAATGTATGTCACTGTATTTGGCTGCTAACAGAGAAGTGAAATGTATGTCACTGTATTTGGCTGCTAACAGAGAAGTGAAATGTATGTCACTGTATTTGCCTGCTAACAGAGAAGTGAAATGTATGTCACTGTATTTGCCTGCTAACAGAGAAGGGAGTCGCACTTGAAATACTCACACCTTCATCTGCGCACACAAGACAACTTTCACGCCACATCTACGTATATCTGCTCATACATTGCTCACTCAACCCAAAACAGATAATCATCATACATACATAAATATATATATATATATATATATATATATATATATATATATATATATATATATATATATATATATATATATATATATATATATATATATATATATATATCCTTTTTTTTTTTTTTTCTATTTCATCGCATAGCGTCCGAAAGGAACATCACAATGTCTTTGCCATTCAAAATCTTGGTAATGTAATAAGTGGAAATGTTTAAATTGCACACATGAAACATTATGATTCGACAAATCAGTCGACAGTTCTTTTGCTTTTTAGTTCATTAATACTTCATAGACTTACAGGTTTTCTCTTCAACTGATAAAAACGTGCCATCAGATAACTATGGGGTTGTTGTTGTTGTTGTTGTTGTTGTGTGTGTGTGGCTTTTTTTTAATACAGTGTAGTAACATTTACTTATGACTTAACATATAAACTTTATATTCTCTCACCCTTCGCCAGTCAAACATCACAGTTCTCACTTGACAGACTTAAAACCTCAGTTTTACCTGGAATCACACAACCTATCTAGCACTCACCTGCCTTCAAGCCAGCGTTCAAGACCTCCACCAGATCCATGGCGTCGATGAGCCCTCTGTCTCCAGCCAGACGATCGAAGGCACTGTCTACGTAACCATCTGTCACATCCTAGACATTGTCAACAAACTGCGTTAAGTAGTTTACTGGCTTTATATAGTTCTAAAGCGTTTATAAGGGAGAGGATCGACTTAATCACCACCCCTCCCTCAGGATTTAACTCTTATGACTCAGTCTCTCTCCGCAGAGCGGCTTTTGGTCCACCGTGAGCCAAACGTTGAAGCTTCAGCTGCAACATATGGGAGTCTTCGAAACACCTGCGATCAGTGTCCCACTGACGAAGTTCGAAATGGAATTCAGTACCTTCGGTGCATGAGGCAAACAACTCAACAACGCAGCCTCTTGCACGTGTATTGTTTGTCCCAAGCTGTAGTCATTAGGTCAAAGGAAGTAATCAAAGACACATCATCCACAAATAACATTCACAAACATCATCCACAAGCAACATCCACAAACATAATCCACAAGCAACATCCACAAACAACGCTCATAAACATCATCCACAAAACAGCAATTTCAAATTACAACATTAAACACTGTGTGGCATACCCTGGGTGACATGGGTACAGGTTCAGCTTGTCCGACTTCGTTCAACGGCCTACAGACAGAAGATGTTGAACAAATCACAGCTTGTAACGGCTGACATACAACATGGCACCAGAGGTTCAAGAAAAATATGATTAACAGTTAGCAGCTTTAAAGTATATACTCGAATGTAAGGGTTAATACATGTCTAACACGCCACATGTTTAGAGACTAGAACGAAGATGCAGACAAGTATATGAAGCAGTTAGCCATTTTTACACCTGTGGAGAAAGTCTTAGACCAAGAATGGAGAAAATATGGCCCACGGGCCTAAACTGGCCTACCAATAAATTCTTTCCAGCCTGCGGGGCTAGTGTAAAATTACTGTTTAATCAGACCCTTGAACTCATAAAACAGGAAAAACACAAGCGCGCACGCACACGCACACACACTCCTTCGCACACACACGCGCGCGCACGCACGCACGCACACATACACATACACACACGCACACAAACCCTTTCGTATGCGGAAAGAAAAATCACAATATTAACATCCAAAGCAAAGATAACCTGAACAGTCATTACCGGAAACTAATGTTGCAAACCTTTTGATTGTACTAATGAATCACGTACTGCAGACAGACTCAAGCATTAAGAGACAAATATCTACCGGCGAACTTTGATAACAAAATATAATAATATAACAGACACATTTAGGAATATGCAGAAGAGTTCAGTTGGTGAATGTGTCAGGCTAAGATGTAGCGAGGGATTATAATCTTTGATTATCCTACACAAATATGGTGTTACAAGGAAGTCTAGATTTGTTGTTTATAATAGTCTGGTTTTTTTTTTTTTTCTATATGGCTAGCGACCAGGTAGAAAATCTAGACCTGACCACCGGACCAAGCAAGGTTGCCCATTCCTGTCTTAGACTAAGAAAACAGATACTAATTACTAGGATGTCTGACATAACATAAAATACCACGGGCACTAGAAAGTCTTAACTACATTAAATAATATGTCATAGAGTGTCATTGAACCAGGTAACATCCGACATGCTCCTTGTACTTTAAGCGCATGCAAACACACACACACACACACACACACACACACACACATACATACTGGCGAGCATTAAGTGCAGCCATTTAGAAAAAAACACAGACACACACACACACACACACGTATATTTATATATAATGTAAAAACACTTTCAGATTCACAGACTCATAAGTACGATACTAACATACACAAGCATATCCACACACACACAACACACACACACACATCATGATAAAATTGATGGCAAGATTACTCACCTGGATTCCACAGCTTGCTCAGAGAACACCCTCAGGTAGAACTCGGCCTCCTGACCCGGCTTAAAGGTGCAAGGAACAATCACGTAATTACCCGGGGCCATCTGGTACCTGACAGTTCTCTCTCTGGAGACGAGACCAGAGACAATGTCTACCATAAGCCAACCTTTCTACCATCATCTCTCACTGCATAGCTGCCTCTTGACATATACTTCAAGCCAACGACACGCGAAACCACCATCTGAGGCTTTATAAAAATATCTGCTCTTGGGAAACTCCTGAGACCAGCAAAGCCCCATCACAAATATATACACACATGTTGGTCAACAAAACATAGAACGCCAAGGAAGACATCAGAGGACACAATGGACAATATACGAGCAAGATTAAAGTGTGCTATTGTTGACATCTGGCAAGTTTAGTTAGGTGGGGTCACTCTAGTTTTCCATGTTGCTTTTGACTAGTGTGTCGACTTATCTTTTTTTTTTTGCCATCTCCTTCTCTGACTGCCCATGATCACTCTTGGATGAGTTCTATTTCTACCAAGTTTCAGAACCATCACTTTTCTTCTAGTTAACGCAGCGACGGGCCAAATTTAAGTGTATTTGTTAAATGTTTGTGGAGTCTACATAAATGTGTGAAGTGTTCTTTGACTCTACATATATTAACAAAGTGCTCTTTAGGTCTACATGTAGTTACGAGGTGTTCTTTAAGTCCCATAATGGCCCAGAAGTGCCCTCTAACACTGTGTCATAAGTCAGTTTTCTAAGAACTGTGACTGACAAACAAATATGTCCACCGAAATTAACAGACTTGCGTAACGAGATCCTCACGTGAACGTTTGTTATCTCCTGGCTAAGGGAACATTATCTTCCAGGTCAAGTGGAAGGCACATTTTCCTGACGATGCCAGCTGGCATGAGAAGTTGTCTGGGAAAGTTCTTGTCCAAGTGTTCGATGCATACTCTAGAACAGTGTTTCACAACGTGGGACCCACGACCAGCAGTTCGTCTCAGAAACTTAAACATTATTGCCATATCAAATGCATCGGCAAATCGAGGGGAAAAATTTTTAGCAGAAGATATGGTGTCAGAAAATATTGACAGGGGCCGACCAGCATGAAGATAGGCACGGGATATAACACATTGTGTAGGAAAGTGCACCAGGTGGGCGAGAGAGCAAGAGATCGAGTCTATTTTAGGCAAACCCTCACGAGAACAACGTTCTGCAGAAGACCTGCTACATGATGTTGACACACCAAAGAACTCCTTGAAAATGCTTTCCACGATCCAGCCTTAATAACTCACTATCAGCAAACAGTCAGGTGGCCATCCAAGAAGAACCGTAATTTTCTTTGTATAGCCTCCTTTTCTGTCACAGATTTGCTGCCATTTCACTCACTCACTCACTCACTCACTCACTCACACACTCACACACTCACACACACAGACACACACACACACACACACACACTCACACTGGTTTTCCTGGTGCGTGTTGAGAC